TGGAATTTGAAGGTTATTATTTACTTTTTTTATAAAATGTAAAAAATCTAATACAAACAAGATATAAAGGTTGGAAATTTAATTAGAAAACTATAACGCATTACGTTGTTGTTTCCAAATTGTTCTGACCATCGAAATAACTGCAAAATTCAGGAGGGCTATTTTACTGATTATTTTACCATGTTATAGTATTGAAAGTGTGATAGTCAAAGTTATAGTATTTGAATATCCATTATTTTCATTAGTTTATTCAAGTTACATATGTACTTGTAAATCGAGCTGTTTACTTCAGCAACCTGTTCAATTTTACCAAAGTATTTCCCTCAGAAATTGCATAGCTTTAGAAACGAATATACATATAATAACTATAGTTGCATTCCACTGTGAAAGGTTAACGAAAGAAATAGACAATTTTATCTAAATTAAATAAAAACTTATGAAAATCTTTGACATGAAAGATAGTGAACAATTTAGAATGAGATATCCAACATGGTGTTCAAATTTCGTTTCCAGCTTTTTATTGTCGATAACATAGAAAACTGTATGGCGCTCTACTACAGAGAACTCTTACAGTGGATTTACGTACTTTGAGAAAGGCCGAAGTTTCATCACTGCAATGGTGTCATGATTACCAATGAGTATCGTATCTGTCAGTGATTATATTTAAATTTGAAAACATTGTAAATTGTAAAACAGTTGTAAAGATGTCTGGTTACACTGGCGGAGACAGTTATATAGGTCAACCAATGCAAGGACAATATAATTTTGATCCCTCTGATTTCGGTCAACCTAACCAACAATTCGAATTCCAGACGTATAGTGATCAACAATCTGACAATTATTCCTCATATAATCAAAAAAGCTATCTTAGCCACAGTCAGAATGCATACAGCGGTGATATCTATAACCAGGATGACTTTACAAAAGGTGATCTACTGAATCCTGATAAAAGCAATATATGTATTTTCAAAGGGTATACATATTTTATAATAGTTAATATAAAAATCTAGGAACAAATGGATTTGTGGACGAAGAGGATGAACCACCACTGTTGGAAGAACTGGGCATAGACCCCAAACGAATATTACAAAGAACATTGGCTGTATTGAATCCATTTCATAAAAGAGGAGAACTCGATGATGCAAACTATTTGCTTCAGGATTCTGATTTGGCTGGCCCAGTCGCGTTCTGTATACTATTTGCTGCGTGTTTGTCACTAGCAGACTCAAAAGCTAATTTTAGTTATGTTTATGGTCTGGCAGTGACGTCCTGTATATTCATGTATATTCTTCTGTCGCTAATGAGCCATAGAAGTAATATCACATTATTTTCTATCGCATCTGTTCTGGGATATTGTTTATTGCCTATAGTAGTACTTGCTAGTTTTAATGTTTTCACTACTTTAAAAGGCCCCATAGGATTAAGTCTCACACTGTTGACAGTTATTTGGGCAACCCTTTCATCATCTAGATTACTTACTACTATATGTGGAGAGGAAAATCAACGTCCCTTAATCGCTTACCCTTGTATTCTTCTTTATGGCGCTTTTGCTGTGACAGTAATATTCTAATAATCAATAAATCTATATAAATTTTCAACGTGAATACTTTCTAGCCATTTCCTTTTCACTGTTTAAATCATCTATTTTATTGATATTTTCCTGTATGCCATCGACATTTTATACTGTACTGCATTGGAAAATTATATTAATAATTAATTCAATTGTTTTCTATAGTTTCTAAATAAATTATATTATCGAACTTAATGTGTGTTGTTTTCTTTTTCAATGTATTACCCACTGTTGTATGAATGTGACTGAGTGCATTAACAAATGTACAAGTTATATCAAAACCGATATTAATAATGATGGTTATTATTATTACATTAATATATATAATAAAATGAAAATCTTTCTGAAAATTGCAAAAAATATAAAATAATCAATATATTTAAGTGATATACTGTAAAATATTATGAATTAGTTTAATGTTTCATGTTGTAAACATTGAAAATTACTGTAGTATGATATTAGATGATAGAGCAAGAAAGTCTTAACACATTGAACGCCCAACGTTAATCAGTAGTTTCTCCCGGCGCCACAAAGCAAAAAATTTTACAAAAGACTATAACGTATTGTCCTGAGTGTCCAAAGTCACCCCAATTATGTTTATAATATATTATAAATGATTTATGTTTTTTAACGAATTCCATCGTAACTAATAAAATGTTATAATATTTTAAAAATAAATTTAAATATAAGTATAATTTGTTAGTATAAGTATATTTTATATTTTATTATTTTATTTTATTATTAGTATAAGTATGTTTTTAATGTTTGTTTTTGTTTACTTTATACTTTATTATTACCCTATATTGTCTATACTCGTCATAGTCGTGTATAAAACTACTATAAATTACCACCAAAATCCTACTTTAATTGGACGAAGACTGCGGAAATGTAGCTGTCACCCAGATATGGGTGACATGGCGTTCAACATGTTAAAACTCTAAGATTTTATTAAGATTGACAAATTTTTAAAAATTTCTGTTATAAATTAAAATAAAATTTCTGTTAAATTTAAATTAAATTTTTCTCACTTTAATTTTTTAGGCTTGCCATCTGATCCAGCACAAGTTCAACAACCAATTTTAGTATGTACAGCACACATCCACTGGGATCCAGAATTTTGTGATGTTAAATTAATTCAAACAATGATGCTCAGCAATGAATTACGTTCCATTTTGGACCAAGCTGGCCAGTCTTTCAGACTTGGTCACAAGCCTGACTCTTCCAATGTTCAACTATTACTTTGTGGTGACTTCAATTCCTTACCTGATTCTGGTAAAATACTATAAAGACATTCTCATAATAATATTTATGTTAAGATGCTCCATATGTTTTAGCACTTTAATTTTAGTTACATAAATATGATCTGTTTTTGATTAACATGATTTAAATTTTGTTAAGAATGCATTTTATACATTCTGTATAAAATGTAAATATGTAGACAACTAAATAAACAATAGTGCTAATTATATATGTAGTAACTTAAGTGATAAAACAAGAATGTAACTCATAAGATTAATATTAAAAAGTTTTAAACAAACGTTTATATTTATTTCCAAAACAGGAGTAATCGAATTTCTTACATCTGGACGAGTAGCGGCCGATCACCGTGACTTTAAAGACTTAGCTTATAAATCATGCTTACAAAAGATCTCTGGTTGCGACAAACCTAATGAATTCACCCACTCCTTTAAACTTGCATCTGCCTATAGTGAAGACATCATGCCCTATACTAATTACACGTAAGTTTTACAATAATAAATTAGAATTATATTCATGTATACAATTTTATATTGCATAATTTTGAATTTTACAGATTCGATTTCAAAGGAATAATAGACTACATTTTCTACTCAAAGCAAAGTATGGTACCATTAGGACTTTTGGGTCCATTAAGTGCAGATTGGTTTAGAGAACATAAAGTGGTTGGGTGTCCACATCCTCATGTTCCATCTGGTAAATTCATAAATTTTTATCGGATTATAAAGTAAGAAATAGTATCAATTATAATTACGTTTTCTATTTTTACTTCAGATCATTTTCCACTGTTGGTAGAATTAGAAATGACACCAACAGTAGGAACAAGCAATGGATTGATCTCACGAAGGTAGCAGCCGCTGCGTACTAGGCCCAAGTAAAAATAAGGAAATAAACAATAATAAGGAAAAAATCTCCATCACATTTTTCTCTTACTTCTGGCTCTAGCAATATCACTCGCAGTCAACGACTATTCTAATGGCAAATATTACAAATACTCCATATTACCGCACATTCAACAAATTATCAGATATTGATGAACAATTCTAATGACCAGGTGAAGGGAGTCGTGTTGTAATGCGTTTAGCCCATGTATAGTGTATTGCATTTTTAAGACTTACCTTTCCCATATTAAGAGTATTGTAACCTTTATCACCATCGTAATATGTAGATACCTATTTTCCTACAAAAAGATATTCCGATCAAGCCTCTGTGATATTGACATTAACAATTGGAACAATTTCACATATTTATTAACAAGTTAGTATCTACTAGATGAATCCCCTAATCTCTTCCTAAATGTCATTACAACATTCTCCAAGCCAATTTTTTTATAAGAATGCTGCCATCCAACAAGAAATTGTATTTTTAAACAAAACAAAAACAAAAAATAATGAAAACATACACGCTATACTGGGCTGTGCGAAGTGATTGGAGTTGACTTAACAATTTCAATGCAAGTACAAATCTGTTCTTATTGGCCACGTATATTGATAATGATAATGTTATATAAAGAAATAGATGATATTGTAGTGAGTGTATTTGTAAGTATGATAATGTAATGATGTTCATCAATCATAGCATCGTGAAAATCAGTTAACATTCACTTATTAGATTTTGTTCCAGTTATTAATATATACCATACCAATTTACTACTTGTTAATTCAGTTGCATTGTACAATCGCAATCTTTTTGCTATTTTTTAAACTCTAATTAACATTTAATTCTATGTTCATTAAGCAAAATTG